CGTTCGATGCCCCCGTGAAAAGCCCAGTGAGGGCTGCAATGGCTCCTTTGGCCTTATGGCTATAAGTAGCACTCTTGGTCGGCTTTGGTCGGCTGCTGAGCACCCTTGGGTCTATGTGGCTTTGCTTGGAAGTGCTTGGGAGTCCTCTTACTCACTTGTGCAAGTAGTGATTACATCCGATTGTGAGTGAGTGATCTCTAGTGTGTTGCATTGAGAGATTGCAAGGTGTGGCACTAGGTGATTGAGTTGCAAGCCTATGGTGCTTGTTACTCTTGGAGGTTTCCACCTCCTAGATGGCTTGGTGGCTTGATCTCCATCATGAATCTCGTAAGAAGCTTATGCGTGGCTCCGAAGAAAAGCTTATGAGGGGTGTTATGCTCGCCCCGCGGGAGATGTGAAGAGCATCTCTAGTAGAACCGAGGTGTGAAGAGCGTCAAGTGGCCCGGTGGGGTCGAGTGCTAGAGCTCGTGGGGAGCACTCCACGTGGGAGAGTGTGACTAGAGGGTCACCACTAGCAAGAGGACCGGCGACAACCTTGAGCTTGCCTCAACGGGGGCTAGGTGGTTGGCAAGCCACTGAACCTCGGGATAAAATCACCATGTCAACTTGTTCATCCCATTGGTTTGCTTACTCCCAACAAAAGCTTATATTTACTCTTCAAATGTTGTGCTTGTGTTGTTGCTCTTGTGTAGCTTGCTTGCTTGTGTAGCATAGTTGTAGCTCCCGTGAGTAACTAGTTGGCTTGTGTACATTGCTTAGTTTGTGTAGCTACGTATTTATTGAGCTCTCTAGTTTGGCTTGTGTAGCCTTGTTATTGAGTGCTAGTGAGCTTAGGCTTTGTGCGCATTGCATACTAGCATGTGTAGGAGCTCCCGGTTACTTGAGTACTAGATGCATAGGTTTGTGACCTTGCAAACTAGAAATTGTTTAGGTGAACTCTACCTAGCCCGGCACCTTAGTTGCTCAATTAGGATCTCTTTGTAAGGTGCTTGAGAACTTAGATAGAAGGGTGTAATCTTGGCTAGACCGAATAGTTTTAATTCCTCATTTGTTTCGGTTAGCTAGCGCAGTTAGTTTTAGAAAGGACAATTCATCCCCCTCTGGTCCTCCATCACGACCTATCACGCATGTGCATCATATTGAACTATAAAATAAACACTTGCAAATTCATTAGTCCAACTCGGTCATATTGATCTCAAACAAAATCCAAACTAAATGGATCAAGGGTCCATTTTCCTTACATCTACCTATTAAGTTTCTAGAAATGATGTATTCATATATATATATATATATATATATATATATATGAAATGTGATGGCAATGAGAATTCTCTGGAGCGTTATAATAATAGTTGTCGGGTGTGGCATTGGACTAGCAATGGTCCTCAACAATTGATCCAACAGTGGTGCCATGAGTGCCACTGTCGGCTGTCGGTTCATGAGTCAACCCGGCAATAATACTCATAGATATCATTGTTGGTTGATGATTAGACTTGGTAGTGGCGTGCCTATTATCACTATCAGGTCGTTAAACCGACAGTGATAGGCCACCACATCACTATCGATTATCCTTTGCTAGGCGCCCACGTCGGCCAGATCAAGCCTCACTGTTCCCTAGGCGCCTTTCTACCCTAGTTCTTCCATCCCCGCGCATCCTCTTGCCCAGGCACCTCCCTCCGCCATGCACACCCATCTCCTAGCCGCCTCCACCGTCCTATTGCCCACCATCATTTGCGCTGGCGACCTCCATCTTTGTGTGAATCTTGACCATCATAGTCTAGTTAGGCAGTAGATCCTATGAAAAATAGACATACACCAAAATCGAGGTTGCTAAACTCAACCATTGAAGACACTTGATTCAAAGATATTCAAATCTAATTCAACATTTTTCACACAAATACTGAGCAAGGATATTCAACATTTTGAAATACTAGATTCGACATTTAGATAATCTGTTTGAAATGTTCTAGGTTAAACGTTGATATAGTGAAATCAAAATGTTAAAACAGTAAACTCATAATGTTGAAGTAGTTTATTTTTTAAAAAACGTTGAGTTTTCCTATAAAAATAAAATAGAAAAAAAACTATGTTGGATCTTTTTTTTGCATTAATTCTAAGAAATATTGTAGTTAAAACAAATTTCTAAATAGATACATGGTTTTGGAGAAAAGTTCATTAAAAATTAGAAAAGTATTGGACCTATTTGGCTAGACAACTTGGGAGTTGAAAAAACTAGAGAGAACAGTCCCAATCACCCGCTTAGAAAGTGCACCTCGATGCAAACTAGCTCTGGCGTCCACGCCCACTCCATATATGTCGCACCTCTTCAGCAAAAACTAGATATGCTTGAATATTCTATACTTTTACCTGATTGCATCCTGATGAATCCAAAGATTTGTTTTCTGCAGCTGTTCACATCAGATACCGTGAAGCTGCAGACCTTTCACATCCACCATTGCTCCGTACACCAACATGCTCCGAGGATGAGATGACCTGCAGCACATACTGAAAACTGGTCCGGATGACCATGTACACGCACTGCAATCCATTCTTCAGACTTCCAAACTCCAGTTCAGGTCCCTTTCTTGTGGGCACACGCTTGGAAATCTAGTAACCAGGACAAGCTCTTACTAGTTGTTTTCGACATGGAAACAGCTACGCTTATTAGTCGTATTTAGCAAAGACCTTGTTGCTTCTACGGCAAAGCAACCTGTATGCAGAGATGATCTTCTAGATAGAAAAATAAACGCCCTGTTCGTTTGGGTTTGTTTGGCTTATAAGCCATGGCTGAAAGTACTGTTGGCTGATTTGATGTGAGAGAAAAATATTGTTCGTTGGCTGATAAGCTATGGCTTATAAGCCGAATACGACCAAACGAACAGGCTGAAAATTCAGAGATGCATACAAAAAGAAGTCAAAAGGAAGAACGGGACGGAATTTCAATATATCATCTCAAGCGCAGACAAATTTCTACAACCAAAACACAAGTCACACACCTTCAGATCCAACCCTTTTCAGATCACATTGCACTAAAAGTTGCGAGCCATCACTTTTGACTAGGAAGAAAAAAACACAGCATGAACCATGAGCTCTTCTTCCCCGCAATCCGTCCTTCCTCTCCCTCTCGCTCTCCCCATCGCTCGCATGAGTGACAAGATTACAGAACCAGAGGAGTATTACAAATTATGCAAACTTTACAGTACAGAAGAAATCTAACAGCTATTTGCACAGGAGTTATGTGCTGTGATACTGCAGGAAGTTTTGGAATTCTTCATGCTCTGATACAGCATTGGAAATAGCTCAGGAACTTCTTCCTTCCCTGCATCGATAGCAATAGATTGGAGTTATTGGCCAGTCTTTGGCAGCACCGGTCAATTACGTGCAAGATTGGTGGAAACATCGCTACAGTTGGTCAATCATAAGCAATGGAACACATGATGGTAACCCAAGGGAAAGTTCGGCATGCAAGACATTGAAAATGTCATGTTGAGAATCTGAAAAACATGTGGTCCTCATGGGTACGTTGAATATGTCAGACTATGGGTCACTAATATCAGTGAACAACACATTGGCAATTTGGCACACACTTTACGAGTAGCTAACTGTGGCTGCAGTTCATCAGGTAGCACATCAACAAGATAATAAACCAACAAGATAAGTCATGCACTCATCACAGCCTGAAAGTAACGAGCCAAACTACTTTTCTAGAAGGGAATGACTTTACTTTATTGTGGCCAACTAAACCACATCTAGTTTCTTCTCATTAAAAAAAGAAGCATCTATAACCACCTGCACTAATCACACCCTTTGGGAATTCGATCCCCAAAAGCTGCTCATAGCCTTATTAATTCAGATCATTTTACTCCGCCGCATTGCTGCCATCTACGTTAGCTAAAATTGTACTAAAAAAGGAGCACCCATGGAAGGTCGTCTAGTATCTGTGTAAACCCACACATCAATACATACATTCTATGAATTTCAGAGAAAAAAAGATAAATAAATTGTTGAAAAGTTGATGCACACATGAGTGCTCCCAAACCCATTAACTCCTGCTTCCCACTGAATCAGCACCAAATGCAATTGGCAATTGGACCAACATCATGCTGAAGCTACTAAAACCTTCCACTGATGGATGACGTTATTGTACGTCATCAAATGAGGTACAAACATAAATCTGATTTATTTATTTTGCCCAGATAACCTTCTCCCCACTCCAAATGGACAACGATGTGGCCCATAGATCAGTACAGCTAACGATTCAGACACAGATGCAGATTTGGAGGCTAGGAAGATATTGATGAGGCTGTCTCTTTCATCCAAGTTGAGACAAGCACTACTACTGCTACACTTCATGCGCATAATTGGATGCATTAGCCTGTTGTATCTGCAATTGCCGCATCAGAACGTAGGCCAGTGAATCGCTACTAAATTGTATTTGCTGATGTGGTACATGACAATTCTACAGATGTGATGGCGCATGATAATTGGTCCCATCTCACGGCATCAACAAATATAAAAAAATCAACTCAATTTATTATTTATTTGTTAATAAACACCCATCGTGAACCTGTTTGTGATCTTTTCAGAACCGCAGTGGTCTAGAACAACTGAAACTAGGCTCGCTTCTGTCTTCTAACAATTCATTCAATAACTAGGTACTGATAGTTGTACCTTGTGTTAAATTAAAATTTCAATTTTGCCTCAACAAGACACGACATGGAAAAAGTCGATCAAGAAATTCGAATCCTTTTTTAAGTCTAAACATACTTTTTGGTTACTTCAGTTCCACGCCCTGCAATTGAACTCCAACCAAACCAACCGGATTTGGGTAGGTGAGGTACTGAGGTGAGCCGTGAGGCGTGAGCGAGACAAGGTGAAAGATGGCACTCTGCCTCAGAAGAAATCAAGGGCGGTAATAACAAACTCTGCTGGGGTATGGGCTAGTACACGCAAGCTAGTGGTACGAGTGAAAGACAGCTGATTAATCCTGAATTAAATTGTTACCGTAGGGGAGTCGTCGTGCAGCGGCCGGCGGCGGTCGTCGTCGGCGACGGCGGCGGAGGACTTGGGCGGCTGCGCCTTGCTACTCTGCTGCTGCTGCTGCTGCTGCTGCTGAGGAGGTCCTCGTCGCCGCCGAGGCTGGCCCTGGAGAGCTCGCGCTTGTTCTGCTTGCGCATCTCGCGGATCTTGGAGAAGTCCATGGAGTAGTCTGGCACGGCGCCGTTCTTGACGTCCCACTCCCCGAACGCCGGCACGGTCATCCACCCAACCGCCGCGCCCTGCTGCTCCTGCAGGAACGGGAAGCAGCGGGCCGATTCAGATTGTTGCCCCGCCCAGGTGGGGTCAAAATACGGACGGAAGGAAGGAAGGGCAAGTAGCTCAGAATCGAAGCAAGATTTCCCCAAGATATCAAGAAAGTAAGACCAACTTTCCCCAGGAATCGTGCTCATGCCCATACCTCCTTGCGGTTCTCCATGAACGCTGAGCACCTGAGCCTCTTTCACTCCCTACCCCTCGCCGTTGCTTAACCTGTAGGCTTGTGACTGTGAGCGCTGCTGAATGCTGGAGGAAATCAACCAATCAGGAGCCGTGTCAGCAGCAGCGTCCCAGACCAAGGAGACGTCGGTTATAAAGCGGGGGAAGGGAAGGAGGCGTTACGGCGAGGCGATGCTACGGTCGGGCCCATCTCATTCCAAGCCGACGCACCGCGGACGGACTGACACATCGGGCGCGTGAGCCGCCCGCCCGCTTGGGAAACGCAACGGGAAAGTGGGAAAGGTCGGCCACAACCTGTGGGCCCGGAAGCCGCACTAACATCCGTCAACGGTCAGCCGCGACCTGAGTCCACCGGTCGCCTTCGTCGTCGATACCGTCTATCGATCGTGTGCCTTTATTCAGACTTGTTTTTCGGCGAGGGTTTATCAGCTATGGCATAATATTTTTTTCTCACAATAAATCGGCATTGGACTATTTTTTTTTCAACAATAATTCTAGGTCAACACCAGTCCACCGACTTATCATACCATCTAAAACCAACCAAATGAAATATTTTTTCTCGATAAATCAAAGACTAAGTCGGACTTATCATTAAAAATCAACCAATTCATCTACCCGGACCCTCTTTTGATGGGCCACAACACTGGTCCAACCACCCTTTCATCTGAGGTTTTTAAAAAACGATCTTTCTACCTCATGGCCCTCTTTCTTTGATGGACCGCGACGCTAACCCAACCACCCTTTCCTCCGAGGTTTTCAAAAAAAAATCGGTCTTTCTACCTCACGGCCTCTTCCTTCCCCATTGCGTCGCACCTCGCAGCCCGACACCATCGCCTGCAGCCCCGTTGGCCACCAGCGCAGCCTCACGGCCCCACCGCGCTCCTCGCTGCTTTGATCCGACATTGTGCCGCCCTCCCTACCCACCTGCTGTGCCGCCACACTTGCTCCCCCGCGTCTCGGACCGCCATACCGTCAAAGGACCACCGGCTCCTAAAACTCGGGGTGTGAGCCGAGGACCGCCGGCTACCCTTCTTGTGAGATCCTTCCGTCGCCTCCTTGAACTCAATGTGGGCGCCATCTTCTCCGCTCCTCGCCCCAGGCCGCTGCCTCCGGTGAACACATGCCGATGAGCCTCCATTCTCCCAGACAGCTAGGAGATGTTGCGCTAAAAACGCATGTTGCAAGCGTATATTTCAAGTGTTTCAGATATTTCAGAGGTATGTTGCAAGTGTTTCATACGGATGTTGCAAAAGTGAATCAGAATGTTGCATATGTTGCAATGGTTGTACACGTATGTTGCAAGATTATGTTCCCAATGTTTCATCTATTTTTTCCAGATATAATTTGCAAGTGTGTTTATTTGGATATTGCATATGTTTTACACATATGTTATAAGTGTTTTATCTAGATGTTGCATATGTTTTACAATATTTTTCAAGTGTTTTTATGTGTTTTTGCAAGTGCGCCAGATGCATGTGTTCAAGTGTTTCATCTGCCCTTTCGATGTATGTTGTAAATGTTGCATCTAGATGTTTTAAAAAATAAATCGAGTGTTGCATCTCCATCCTCGCTTTCTACTACCTCGCCTCGGTGTCTCCTTCTCCTTCAGGCGCCGGCTAGCATCCGCTACCCCCTCCCCCTCTTCTCGATGCCGGTGACGTTGGGGCGGCGCGGGCCCCACGTGAGCGCGAAAATAGCATGGGAAACGGCTATAGGCGCGGGCGTCCGGACGGGACGGACGTCCAAGCGCTAGCAGGCCTATTTTTTTACCACCAGGGGGTGTTTGGACTACGGGATGGCAATGGAGCGGTTTCGGGTCAGAGCTCCGTGAATTTCGGGTCCAACGGGTTTGGGTTCAGGTTCAGGTTCGATTTTCTCCCCATGGTTTTGAGACCCCGAAACTTATCAGGTTTGGTTTGGGTTTCGATTTCACCCGCGGATCCACAATGGAGGTCCGAAATAGAACATTTTAAATAAAAACTATGTTTTATTAATAAAATTGTTAATGTAAGCTATTAAACTTGTTCTAAGTTAAGCCATGAAATTGTGTGTTGTTTATTGCCTCTTGTTCATTCATGTGAATATGTAATATATATCATGCACATGTTGCTAAAAATTCCTTATTATTTTTAATTGTCATATAGTGGTGGGTTTTGTGTTTTGGTTAACCAATCGGGTTTTGGGGATCCACCGGATTTGGTTTTGGGTTTGGATTACACCCGAACCGATGTTCGTGACAATTTTGGTTTTTAGTTCGGGTTTTGGGTTTGGACCCGTGAAGGCTCCACCTGATCCGAATCCGCCCTGTAGCCATCCCTTGGATCAGGGGGCTAATAATCAACACCACTATTAACGTCAATTGCATTCAAGGAGAAAAGAAATCCCTAGAGTTCCACGAATAAATCCACTGAGTTGTGGTAGTTAATTAACGTCGAATGTTACACCTCTAATTATAATATTTTGACCCAGTTTTTTCCTTACAAACTACTCCGTAGGTCCTAATTCTTTTTCTTCTCTTCTAATTAAAATTAGCAGCAAAACTTTTGGCTTTCCTTCGGAAAAAAAGAAAAAAAAAAACCAGTGATATATGCAGAGAACATCAGAGCTTGTGCACGACGCTTGTGTTGTCCCCAGGTAACGCGCGCTCAGATATCATCAGCCTGAATCTGAATTTTGTTTTGTCTATTACGTAATTATTATTTACACTTCTTAATTAGGCGAAGATGATGAACAACGGCGCCTCACCACGCGCCGCAGATCGGTGTCGACTTAGGTGCTATTTGGTTCAGCCACAGGAGAGGCAACGCTAATCGGAATAGCTGCTCCTGGTATCAGTTACATTGGATCACGGCCGGAGGGGAGCGTTAATGATTTTGCACTAGCCTGTAACGTAACAGATGTCGCCGCGATGGATTGCAGCCTATACAACAAAACATAAAGTCACGGCAACAGATACCAATGTAAACTGATTAGAACCCTAAATGGTTGAACCAAACAGCATCTTAGTTGTGACGACGGGCCGTCATCGATTGTAGCTGTTGCTCCACCGTACGCATTTCCGTAGCAGATCGATGGGCGTCGTACGTCCTCTCGGTTGTCGTCAGCGGCTGATGACCCGTATCAGGAAAAGGAAAAGGCACACAGATCGATAGAGGGCAAACGGTATCAGGTCTGCCAAACCAAACAAGAGTAACAGGAGTCGGATAGCAGCGTGAAGGGTTGCTGGTCCAAAAACACCGAACCAAACACCACCTTTAGGCTTGTTTGAAGGTAGTCAGATTCATCAATCTACTTGTACATGTAGATTAAGGTGAATCAAATAAAATCAATCAAGGCCTTAGTTGGATTTCTGGATTCCGCTTGCAGGCTTAGGGAGGGCGACCATGCACGTTGACACATTTCACGTGGAAAATATTTTGGACCGGTCGGAGGGAGTATTATCTAACCAAAGGTTGGTTATCCACTGATTCTCCTACTACGTACTGTAGTTATCACCAACACAACCATACAAATTCCAGACACTACAGTATTATTACGGCTGCCGCAGCCTGAACCTGCAATGCAATGATCTCGCGTGATCTGCGCCTGAAAGGCCTCCGATCATTGCTAGACAACACAGATTGATAATCGATTGGAATTGGATCGGTAGCTGGCTCTATGATCACTATGGATACACCATTGCTAGAATCAACACATGCTTCTTTGGACCCTACACATTGCAACGATTGCAAGGTAAAGCGATGAACGACAAGCGACAGGCACATCCCTTCAATTTCAATCAAAACTTATAATGCATTGGTTGGCTCAAAGAAGCAGCAATCCATCTCATCTCATAATGGCGAAACAAGGGTTCACTGTCTCACTCACAGAGCGGATTCCATGATACATTCACCCGCACCAACAAAATACACTTTGATTGGGAGCAATTATACAGAAGAAATATACAACTACATGGAACACAGCTACAGGCCTACAACAACACACACATGCGCTCCATTTCGTGCTTCTCTCAGCACGTCTAGTGCACCTGCTCGGTCCTACAAGACCCCGGGAGCGGGAAGCCTGCTGCTGCTGCTGCTGCTGCTGGCAACGGGGAGGCCGAACCTGACAGGCGCCTTGGAGAAGGCTGCGCCTTCATGGGTGACCTGGGGACTGAGCCTGAGGACGACGACGACGTCTGCCATGTGTTGACTTGAGGCGCCACAATGTTGTACTTGGGGTCCTGCAGCTGCTCCAGCTTCTCCACGACCTCGGACATTGCAGGCCGCATCTTGCCCTCGTTGCGGATGCACTGCAGGGCGATTCCAGCGACAGCATGGGCGCCTTTCTTCGGGTACTGCCCTCCCAACTTCGAGTCCATGATGCGGTACAGACGGCACTTGTCTCCCAAGTAGGGTCTTGCCCAGTCAACGAGGTTCTGCTCGGATACCGGTTTCGATTTGTCTAGCGCCCGCCGTCCTGTCAGTAACTCCAGTAGCACGACGCCAAAGCTGTAGACATCTGCCTTTACTGAGAGGCGACCTGGAGCATTTTTTTTAAGAAAATGAGGAAAAACAATCTTATCAAAATAAATTGTGTGGCTGAGCAGATTATTAATTCACTGGTTTTATGCCCACTGCTTAAGAATGGAACTGGTTTATGTTGAGGTCTCTAGTACATATATACCTAGACAAATTAGGGGAACCCCCCTGCTGTGTTCCTTCAAAAGGATTGAAGAAAAGATATCTGAGCTCCCCTCAGAGATTATGAATGGAATAGGCTATTTGTTTGTCTAATGACATTTTTTAAGACAATTTTTGAACATGACCTCTAAAAACGTTGAGTTAGGTTTCACCAAAACCTAACTAAAAGTTTTGATTGGAAAATAGATTGCCAAAACTTTAGCATCAAGCCTTTTGAATTGTTGAATCGCATGAAAATTTAAACATATTATAAATCTTATTTATGTGGGCTAGATTACACACGAAAATAGCAAGAAAGGGGGACAAAACATAAAAATCCCATAAGATGTAAACTACACGTCTAATAAGATCTTTTATCAACACAAGAAACTATCTTACCAAAATAGAATATATTCATCCACATGGGTCAAATGACCGGTCAAGAAAATTGTGCACAAAGGCTGGTTTCTTTCCTAATAAATGTACTTTTGTGAGGAATCCTATTATCTCAGAAGAAAATTGCAAACAACCTTCATTGGCTGACTCTTAGTGTTTAGTCATTCTAAGAATATATTATTATATTATATATTCACACATACCAAGAATCACCTCTGGAAAGAGAATTTTGTTTGCAGAGCTTTTTCCATTTTGACAGTAGCTTTATTCTAAATTTGCCACCACCAAGTGGAAATTTGTCACAATATTAATGTATAGCCACTAGACTGCGGTAAAAGGACAATCGATAATATTCTGATCACTGTAATAAACACATTTTATAGTTTAGCAGTTTCTTGGCGTTCACCTTTTAGCAGTTTACTTGTTTTACTCCCAACATTCAAAATGGATCTTGAACATATAGACTTCTCTTGTGAAAAAGTCACAGTTTTCTAACAAATGGAGTTGACCATCTTTTTGAGAGATGAAAATTCTTTAAGGGCCAAGATAGCATACAGAAGATAAGGCACATTTTAGCAAGTTAAAGATCTTAGTCAAAAACCAGAAGCGGCGTTCTACAAAGCATACACCATCATACCAAAACTGGAAATCCAGTAGGTTGGAGTGGCATGTTTGCAAACCAGTTCAATAGTACTGGAATTACAGCAATTCTGCCAATTCTAGAACCATAAAATGAAAAAATAAAAGGTGACACAAAAATATTTGGATTTCGTTATCATAGCACAGAGGCATGTGATCCTGGATCATAAGTAAATAAGCTTCCAACATAGGCGAAATATGATAGACTAACTCAAAGTAAATACCACCTTAGCTAATACAAATTAAGAGCTTATATTGAACTTAAGGTGATATAAATGAAATAATGTTGAAGAAATGGCAAGCATAAAGGAAGTAAACACATCATATCATTCGGCATGTTTTCATTATTTCAGAATTGTTCATGGCTTACACTCAAAATTTAGATTGTTTTCTAACCTGTTGCAACATACTCTGGAGCTGCATAACCTCGTGTGCCCATGACTTGTGTAGAAACATGGGTCCTATCCCCAGTTGGACCTGCTTTTGCCAAGCCAAAGTCTGAAAGCTTTGCGTTGAACTCCTATATTAATGGGCAAAGAAGTTAAGAAAATAACAATGTACGGTTTGCCAAAATAGAAGTTTTCCCAGAACAAGGATGAGTAGACATTTCATGTATACCATGTCAAGGAGAATGTTTGATGCCTTGAAGTCACGATATATGACTTGGTTCTCAGCGTCATGCAGAAATGATAAACCCCTAGCGGCCCCAATTGCAACTTTGAGTCTTATTCCCCAGGGTAAAGGATCAGCACCTCCTAAAACAACAGAAAGTTTCTGCTGAACTAGGTAGAAATAGAAAACGACAGATTTCAGAAGAAAAGGGTTGCATTAGAACAAAAAACATACGTCTGAATAGATGATTTTCCAAACTTCCTTTAGGCATGTACTCATACACCAGGAGTCGGTTATCACCATCTGAGCAATAACCAATGAGTTTGACAAGATTCTGATGGTGAAGTTGGCCAAGGTAGTCAACCTCTGTCTGCAGGAGAGCAACCCCAGTAAATACAAACAGAGAGGTCTCGAGAAATCTGAGAATATGGGCTAAAGCACTGGCAAACATACCAGCCACTCCTTGTGGCCCTGAAAACCTTCTGGTTTTAGCTTCTTGATGGCAACAACCATACCACTTCCTGGCTTTGAAGGGGCAAGAGTTTGCTCATCAATCCAGCCTTTGAACACATAGCCAAATCCTCCTTCCCCAATACGACTATCTGATCTAAAGTTCTTCGATGCAGATTTGAGATCACCTAATGAGAATGCCTTCAAATTTGGCGACGACAAGATTTCTCCTTCTGTCCTAGGAGTAGGATGCTCTCGACTATCTTTGTATGAGGCCACAGTCCAAGTCGACCGAGTCGAACCACTTTTGACCGTTGAGGGGTTGGATGATGAAATTGATTTGCTCCCTAATTTTGATTGATCTAACGGGTCAACAATAAACACAAAACAAAATGTGTAAAGCATACAGTCAATCGCTTGTGGCTAGTTTAATTAATGATCGAGTTCCTTCAATTTTGCAGATAATGTGGTCCAAGACATAAGTATGGTCATGGTAACGACATACGATACAAATTAAAAAATCAGCAAGATGCAACAGCCACAACTATACTCCTAGCATTGACCAGCCAAACAGAAATGTCTCTAGCTGTCCAAACAAGTAAAAATTCATGGAACAAAGTTCCTGTTGTCTCAGAAAAAACATGCTAATTCTGACAGATTGGAGCACTGGGGCTGAGTTATTAACTAACCTAGCCAGACACTGCCTCGCAGAAGACACTTCACGAGTTGTGCCCAAATTGTATCACATAAAGAACCAAATTACAGATTAATTAACAGCCAAGTTCCTACAGTTCTGAAAAAAAAGAGAAAAATGTGAAGACAAAGTGGCCTTGCTAATAGGACTACAATCTACAAAATCGGCAAGTAGCAAGACACGATGGCCATTACTGGTAAGTTCCACCTTCCAAACTGAAACTTCTGTGCCTAAACGTAAATCCAGGAAACAGGTTTCCATTTCTGTCAGACAAGCATATGCTAATTCCAACTTTTTTTTTCTCGAATGCGCAGGAGAGCTGCGCATCTTTGTATTATAGAGAGAACTAATTCCAACTTTTAACAAGATAAAGCAAGGGTGCTGCTCTTTTTTAGATAATATAACGAGACACTTACTGCCAAGGCCACTCCATTAGTTGGGACCAAATTCTATGATTCGAACAACATTATGGCTGGGTGTATCATAATACCAATTTGACACTCTCTGCTTATAAGTGGGTAATGAATTCCCAACTGGAAAATGGAAAATGTTAACTCCTTCAATCTTAAAAAAAAAACTTATTTCCTCTTCTATGAAAGAAATCACCACACAGTACTAAAAATCAATAGCTAGCACCCCATATAGTAATAATAACTAAGGAAAAGAAGAAAACGAGGGCACATAGACAAGCAAGCATACACAAGAATTGGCAGCAAAAGGCTAGCAGCAGTAGCAACCCAACACCCAATCATGGTGAAGGAAAAGCGCGCATATGGAAGGGTCTCGCTTAGCAAATCCATCCACCAATTAGAACCCAACGGAACCCGTAAGGCAGGAGCGCCCTGTCCAGCCTCCCCGGAGCAGCTAGCCATTACGCCGGATCTGCCTAAGGGGTCAGACGAGACGAGCACAGAGCAACCAAACCAAGCAAGAAACAGCTGCTTACAAATCCAGCGAGAAGAGGCTCGTGGAGGTGCACTCACAGGAGGTGTTGTGGTCCACCGGCACCGCCTTGTCCATGCAGTTCCCCATCTCCTCCCTCCGCTGCCGCCGGCCAATCTACCGGCGACACATCGACCGATCCGACCGCCCCGATGCCTCCTGGGTGGGAGCTGCCAGGAACAGCAACGGTGCACCCCGCCTCTTCGCACGCGCCTGCGAGAACTCGGCCGGGGTCAACGCCAGGAGGAAGCTCCGCCACCAATAGCGCACTCTTCCAGAATCCAATCTTTGGAGGATCAGAGCCGAGCCCGACCGCCACGCCAACCCGCGCCGGCAGAAGCACGTAAGAACGTGTCCCCGCCGGAGTCAAGTCAACCCGGCCGGCGGGCTGCAGTGCGCGCCCCAGGAGTGTCGTGTGGATGGGGTTCGCCAGGAGGAGGCGCGCGTGCGTCTGTCGCGGGTCGCGGCCGCGGCCAGCCCAAGGCCACCAGTGTTGGAGCGGAGCGGAACCGCGGATACCGCGAGGAGAGAGAGAGAGAGAGAGGTGGTTGGGTCTCGCTATCTCGTGGGGACTGCGGTGGGGTTTGGGAGTAAAGAAATGGCCATGAGCATTGAGTAGGCAAAGGTTTTGCGGTTTTTTTAATGGCGAATATGACCTGGTCTTTGTTGAACAAATGATGAGTTTATTCTTGTTGCTTATATATATTGTGTCAGTGTATATATATATATAACACGCAATAATTGCCATGTTCGTTTGGCTAACAAGTCATGACTAAAAGTACTGTTGATTGATTTGTTGTGAGAGAAAAGTAGTGTTCGTTGGCTGAAAAAATACGGCTTATAAGCCAAGCGAATAGGACGAATGTTTGATATTTCTATGGTTTTGTTTTTAGGAAAAACTAAAAAAGATTTGAATATTTCGTACCCATGGGCACTCAATTTCTTATACTTTTGCTCACCAAACTGAGATCGATCGTCTGATGGTCCATCTACATCTTCAACTTTGTTATATTCTTCCTCTCTCTTTTTTTTTAAAAAAAAAGAAATTGCTCTTCCTCTCTATAATGTCTTGTCTTATACCCATCTTGCTCATTCACTGCACGATCCAGTTTTTATTGGCTCCCAAACATCACTATGTTAACATGCCAAAATTGCAGTCCTCGGCTCCCATAGCCGACAGTGTTCCATGCGTTATATCTTTGCTACCTAGCGCCAGCCACCATAGTTAGCCACCCGACTACCGTCGAGAAGCCCGATGATTCCAAAGAGCCCCGAGAATAATGTCGAGCCCTAAGCCCTAACAATGCCAAAGACGTGTTGGAGATAGGGAATGGATCTTTGTTTGAGATTTTTTATTATGTTGTTAAAATTGCATTTAACTAGGAGTCTCAAATACCATGGATAATGGGTAACTAACGAAGTTAGTGTATATCCAATTTACGTTGCTCCTTAGGTGCTTGTGCCAGTGATGAGTGGCTTCAGCATATCTTATGGAAAAAGGTCCTTACTGAGCAACCATATTTCTGCGTCTTTGTGATAGAAATAACCTGTCCTGAAATGTAGGGTACACAAATTTGTATCGATTAGCTGGATTGAACTTGAAAATTCTACTTCCTGCCTTAAAAAATAGATGCTTTAGTTTTTTTTTCCTTGCTCACAATCTTTAAGTGCTCATTTCTAGGCCACTTTTCAGATGCAAGAAAGGGTCTGTTTTTGCTGTCTACTGCTTAGGGCTTTGAAAGTTAAGTACTATGATGTTGCTTCAAGACCTTTTTAGTGTTGGGTTCCCTCTACTTCCACGACTTGCAGTTAAGTTCTATCAGTTTTGCTATTTTATTTACTAATGATTATCGCCTTCAATTTTTTGCAGGTGGAGGTTAAGTACTGGCATGCACAAGGTACTGCCATAGGAGTGCACTTTATTTCTTTCTCAATATTTTTCTTTATATTAGTTTGGTCTTTGTATACTCAAATATTTTTTAGTGTATATCCCAATATTTTCTTTTATATTAGTTTGGTCTTTGTATACTCAAATATTTTTAATGTATATTGTATTCCAATGTTTATATTGAAGCTTTAATGCTATAAGATCTGTACATCTTATATGGTCCAATTGGTGCTCAAACTTTATGGTTTTACTAGAAGATCATGACATTGAGGACTTTAGTAGTTAGTCCTGAAATCCAAAGGATAGAGATGTTTTACTAGTAGTAGGAAACTAGAAGAGTCTGAAGAGGCTATTTTAATGATTTTTATTTTTTTAGATGTTATCGTAGCGTTAGCATAAGCAATATACTAGTATCATTAATAGATCCAAACATGCTCAGATTAGAGTGATATATCTTATGGATAGGGAGAGTAAATCTCCAACTAAAAGTAGAAATAGTTTGCTTTGATTTTTATTGTTTAATTACGAGATAGGTCCAATGAGATGAGACGAAACATACCGGACAAACATCGAAAGACCAAGGATCCGGAGTTGCTAAAGTCATGATCTTTGCCGGCCTAATTAATTAGTTGCGAAAGGTTCAAAATACTTGACGACCAGCGTCTCTAGTTCGCTAGAAATGGCTTCTGCTCTTGACCGGGCCATCGCTAGAAATCACCCTGTCCTCGTCATGCCGAAAATTCATATCGGGTTTATTTATTTTTCTCATGCCCGGCCTGTCGCTAGAATCACGCGCACTGTGTGTTATTTTTATCTCAGGCATTGAACAAATCCTACATGTCACCTTCAGCTCCGACTGGATTGTCTTAATCGCAACTGTTGGAATAACGAGGGAATGATGACTTCGCTGAAATCTTAAAAACAGAATTAGCCGATGCTTTCTTCAACTCTAACGTTTCTTTGACTTGCTCTCCTCTTAGAGTCTTCCTCATCCCATGGATCTTCTGTTTACGCTTTATGGGCCTGTTTAGTTGTACCTCTCCTAGGCAGCCCATATGCAAGAATCTCAATGCTAGGCCTTCAAAATCTGATCGATGCACGGAGCTAGGTAGGTATGCCTGCGCTGAAACAAAAACGTTAGTTCGTCCGGACGAACGGACAGCCCCGCCCTGCCCGCGTTGCGTGCCGCACGACCCCCCCAGCTCCATACGCCGCGGCCGACCTCCGTGTCGCCAAGCCCCCCCAGTCGCGCCTCTTGCCGCAGTGCACTCCATCCGCCGATGAGAAGCCCACGCCGCCGCGAGCCCCGCCAGAGTCACGCTTCCCGCTACGGCTGCGCTCCATCCACCGGCGAGATGCCCGTGCCAGACCTCTGCGCCACCACAAGCTCCATGCTCCTCCGCTGACCTTCGTCATTGCGACCTCCATGCGCTCGCAGCCGACCTCCGTCGCCGTCGTGATCTCCATGCGCCACCACCGACCTCCGCGCCGGCGTCGAGCTCCACAACGATGAGCCTCCATTCGTCCCGGCAGCAAGGTGATATTGCGCTGAAAGCGCATGTTGCAAGCATATGTGGCAATTGTTTTAGATGTTTCAGAGGTATGTTACAAGTGTTTTATATCGATGTTGCAAAAGTAGATCGGGATGTTGCACATGTTACAATGGCTATACACGTATGTTTCAAGTGTATGTTTCAAATGTTTCATCTGTTTCAGACGTATGTTGCAAGTGTTTCATCTGGATGTTGCAAAAGTTAGTCTGGACGTTGCATATATATGCTAGTGTTTCAAGTGTTTTCATACTTGTGTTGCAAGTGCTTTTATCTGGATGTTGCAATGTTTTACAATGGCTACACACGTGTTTTTAAGTTTTTCTAGTGTTTTGCAAGTGTTTCAGATGTATGTTGCAAGTGTTTAATCTGAATGTTGCAAAAGTAGATCGGATGTTGCACATATCGAGTTGGACCCACTTGCCGTAGCCACCTGCTGTAGCTGCTGGGGTGCCACCGAGTGGGTAGACGGTCCTCACGTGCCACTATAAAAAATGTCTTAAACCATGACAATTTGTAGATAACGTATTTAGAAAACGTCATGGATTAGAGATGGGTTCATTTGGACTCCAACAACAGGTCCATTACAAGTATCGCACATATAACATGCGGTGGGGTGGCGCGGGAGACATCCGGGTCACGGGCCCCACGTGGGCACGCGAGACGAGCAGGCGCGCGAAAACCGACTAGCATGTGCTTGGACGTTCGTAGAATGTCCACAAAACGTGGAAACCAAAAGCCCCTGCCCCCTAGATCCCGACGCAGACTTATCATCTCATGGCTAAAAATGTTAATTGCTGGCACACTTGAAGCTATTTGTCTATCAACCATATTTCCTGTGAGGCTGCCACTTTTGTTGGCCTTCAGCAGTGGCCGCAAAGACTAATCAATGTTGGCCTTCATTATAGGAGAGGATCACGAAATACTTGAAGAGAGGTGTGGATACAGAGGATGAAAGCAAAGATGTCTAAGTCAAGTGCGAGGCTCAGTTCAAGTTGAGTTCGAGTCTGCCTCGGCCTTCAGAAGTAGTGTGCACTAAAATAGCCGCCTACAATGATGTTGGTCACACATCAAAATTCCACCGGAGTCAATAGAGATTGTCGGAACAAGTTAGAATCAGAGTGCTGAGCCACCGTCTTTTGGTTTGTTGGGCTGTGTATCATCTAGTCAAATAGGGGTGTTTCCAGGAGGTGTTCACACCCCAAGCAACTTATAATGAGTTTTCACCATCTATGTTAGGGTTTAGGTTTTGCTTTAGATCAACTTTGTCATCGAATATTCGCTGCCATTGGTTGTGAAACCCCACTTTTCATGAGCTTAATCATACATCCACAATTTGTCACTTTATTGAGTTGTGTTATTTTGAGTTCTTGCTTGTGTTATTGGATCCACATGCATGGTTTAGTCTTCTCAACAATGTCAATTAGATTTTGACACGATTGATAATTATAAGAGACGTGAAGCTAAGGTTACAGAATTTGAATCTTTCGATAATTATCTTCACCTAACAGAAGATCGAGAACTCTGTCCTCATCAGCGCACGCCTAGTACAGAGTTATTCCACGACAAAACAAAATTAGGACGCATCACGTCGTTGAATTAATAATTGGTAAATTTATTTGTATGTCCTGTTGCAATTTACGACGTGTTTG